CTTGGAAACCCTAGGTTCTAGGGGACGTTACTAATACTACAAAGATAGATTTGAATCAGGCTAGTCACGAGTAGGAGAGGAAGAATTGAGTATCATTGCTGGGCCTTTGTTTTAAACGCTAGATTTCCTGGCTAGTGATGAGGAGCCCTCGAGTGAGTTCCAGGCTTTTCTACGCACTCCTGAGGGGACCTTACCCAAGTCCAGGCTCCTTTCCCTCAGTTCTATTTACAAAGTGTTGAGAATGAAAGAGCTCAAGGTAATGTGATGTTAGAAAAATAACCATCCGAGGTCTGTGGTATGATCTCTCTCTCTGAATTAATGACCTTGCTTTCTCTGCTGTTGATCCTCCAGGAGAGAAGAAACATAACCAAAGCGTAATTTGGTTGGGCTTCTGTAAGCTCCTAAGTCAGATTTAGTAAATGGCACGAACCAAGCTACTCATGCTGTTTGACAAAGTCCAAGTATGGGGGATAATCCTGAAAATCAGGAGACTCCACAGCTGGCTCCTGCTACTTCCTTTCATTTTGTTTGTGGCAATCTTTATAATCTTGGGATTTTTCCTCGGGTTTCATGATAAAATGATCTATAAATTTAGTTATGCCTATGTAAGCAATCATAATGAAACTGATTCCAAAAAGGCTGACGATGGGCCAAGAAATAAAATTACCCAATGTCCTCCAATCTGTAATTCATCTAACATGAGCAATGCGGAGTTCTTTAATAAGCTTCGCTTAAGGGAGCTGTTGGATCCAGGCCCAGTAAAAGTCCCTATTGATGAGATTCCTCGGGCACCTCTGAAACATCAGAGTTCTAGGAAAGGAAAATCTCACGTCATTCCCACAGTACAGGGACCTCCCAATGTTACTTTGATAGGATAGGGTGCACACACTGTAAGCTGCCTTGGGAGGAAGAATAAACTTTAGATAACCTTTAAGCAAGAGTAAAAATATAACTTTCTCCGCATTAGCACACAATGGCAGATAGGTTACGCTTCGTCTCGCATGGTCACGCTCTGTCTAGTACCTTTGTTTTTAAATCCAAAATGATCTAAGATGATTGCAATAAGATGTAAAAAATAAAATCACATGTTATGAAAGAATGGAAAAACAAGGAAATATTCTAATGTATAAATAAAGTCCCTCCGAGGCTATCAGGAGGAGATGCTTATAACCTGATCCTGTGTCCGTGTCTCCTCCCTCGCCGACCGGCGCCATCCTTTCCTTCAAGGACCCTTCCCCTGCTGGAGCTGGGCTCCGCGAGTAAATGTGCATCTTGGCTCCCTCACATACATACAAGTGAGCGTGGGCAATTTACCTGGCATTTTCGAGCCACAGTTTCCTCATATTTATAATAAGAATGATAATGCGGAATGGTGAAAATGAGAAAACATGTAACATGCTGCTTAACAGGTACCAGCCGAGTCGTCTAACCCCTCTGGCTGCAAACACGCTTCAGTCCACCAGGGGGTGGTGACGTGCGGAGGGGGGGGGATTGGAGAAACGGCCGCGCATGCGCGCCGCTGGCGGGAAGGGTGAGGTCAGCGCGTCCTCCCCGAGTGACTGGCAGCCTGCGCAGGTGGTGGAGCTGCGGCGGGCAGCCGCTGGAGAGCACGGATTCATCCGGCCAAAGCCACGGCAAGCAGACGTATGCGCAGACGCGTTTATACCCCCGGGCCAGATGCAGAGGGAACATCTCGTATGTCTTGTTTTAATGTCTTATTAAAATATTAGAAGAAAAGCAAGGCAGGACCACAAACTCTGGGGAGAATCATCCACTTTCTCTCCCTCCCCCTCATCCAGAAATTCCAGCCTCAAATCCGTACAGGGGGGAAAACACACACCTGATAACACTCAGCTAGACGACTATCCCGCTTTCTAGTTTGAGCCCAAACTGTCCTTGAATGTGCGATAATCCTTATTGTAACTGACTGCATCGCCTATGACAGCCAGTCCCACGTGGGATTTACTTCTGGCCACTCTGAAGCAGCTGGGGACATTCCCCTTGTGGGCCCTGCCAGTACCTCTGGTGTTCTGCATGACCCTACAGTTTTGAGTGGCCCTGTTTATTGCTGTGTTGACCAGACAGCCCCCACAACCTTAGTTGTCTGTTGCTGTGCAACAAATTAGCCCAAAACTTGGCTTAAAGACAATGAACACTTACTGTTTCTCACCATTTCTGTGTGTAAGGAACTGGGGAGCAGATAGGCTGGTTTGAAGTCAACCATGAGGTTGCATTCAAGATGTTGGCCAGTCCTGCAGTCCTCTGAAAGCTTGCCTGAGGCCGGGGGATCCACTTACAAGAAGGCTGATTAATCTTGTTTTTAATTTTCTGTATCTTGTTTTGACATCTGGGACGGGCGGTGCTTATAGGCCTGGGGAAAGACTGCCCCTCCCAAAGCTAGCTAGTTCCTGAATATAGTGAAGAGTGTATTTGCCAGCATGCCTCTCATGCACCCCCCAGAGACCTTACCAACATTGTCCCTGCCCTAAATCATCCCAGAGCCAGCTAGCTACTAGGCAAATCGAAACCACTCTTATGGCCCAAAGCCCACTGGAATTGTTCAGACTAGTGAATCCTAAGCTGTTTTACTCTGCCCTGCCTTGCCTTTGCCACAGAAACCCCCATAAAGACTGTGGCCTAAGCTTTCCCCTTGCTCTTGCTTCTACCACCTGACCAAATCCTGGGTGCTTCCCCTGTGGCCCTGTGTGGTGTGGCATGCCCCCTTCTCTTGGTAAATATAAGTAGTAAATTCTTCCGATGGCATCGACCTCTCCTCTCCTTTAATTTGTAGTCACCTACAAATTAAGATCTTGTGAGTACAGATGAGACAGAGGCTCATTGCCATGGCTGGCAGTTAATGCTAGCTGTTGGCTAGAAGGCTTCGGAACTCTTCACAGGTTGCTTAAAAGACTTCATGACATGGCTGTGACTTCCCTCGTGGCCAGGGATCCAAAGACATGAAGGCAGAAGCTGTAATGTCTTTTATGGAGCTTGGAAGTCACACATCATTCCACCATGTTGGTCATGCAGGCCAGCTGTGAGTTGGTGTGGGCTGGGACTGCACAAGGGCATGAATTCCAGGAGGTGAGGATCCCTGGGGACCATCTTGGAGGCTGGCTGCCATAGGACATCATGGAAAATATTGACTTGCTACTTTCTTTTTCTTCCTTCAGAAGAGGACAAGCAATTATACCCACCCACCCCTGACCCCCACCGTAGGCAGATATGTCTGCTAAAGTCAGAGGCACATACCTGATTTTTCAAAATGTAACTTAGCTGACACTGAGAGGGACTCGGGGATACTGTCTAGAACAAGCGCCCCTTCCTTCCCCGTCAGTTTTTGTTTAGTACTTAACATACCACAGATGACCTTTAGCAAGGTCATTGCAAATGTAAGAACATTCCTTAATCATGGGTCCTCTCAGGAAACTTATTCTAAAACAGAAGTTCCTAACCAGTGTGTTTTTGGGGTCAGAGGACCCTTTCAGACCCGATGAAAGCCCCTGGACTCTCTCCAAAATGTTTATATGCAAAATTCTGCAACCAACTTCATAGATGGCTGGATGGAAATTACTAGATGTCCTTGCTTGCATGTCTAGGCTTTAGGAATTATCATTCTCCACTTTTGGAGCATCTATGTTAGGGCACCACCGCAGGTGCTAGGACATCACACAAGTTCCTGCTCTCTCATGAGGGCAATGATCAGAAAACCACCTCTGAGATTAGTTAAAGACATTAAAAATCGAATGTCACAGCGCTGGGGTAAAGAGAGATGAGGTAGTTTGTACCTCAGGCCCTACAGAAGTGATACTAGAATGAAGACTGGCATGAGGAGAAAGCCACCAGTGCAGTAAAGCAACACCAAATATGAGAAGAAAGTAGGTTTGGAGTGTTCGAGAAACCAAATGTGAAACACTGAGCAAAGACAGAACATGGTGGAGAGGCAGACACAGGACAGGCAGGAGGCCACTAGGAGCAGGGAAAAGAGCCAGTTTTTTTTGGAGGATCGTAGATGGACACCCTGCTCTTTGAAGGGTTACAATGGGGCCGGGGTGACTAGGCTAACACTCTATAGTCAACTGGGCACTAGGGGTGAAGATCCCAGGAGCCCCTGCCCCACCCCACTTCTTAGGGCTCAAGTGGAGATGGCCCAGTTTCCACCTAGGTGGAGATCGGACTTCTTGATCTTTCTGCATCCCCTAAATTATTTGTCTTTTAAAGTATGAGTATAAATGTTCATACACAACAAAAGACAGTAAGCACCTGAAACCACCCTCCACAAATATAAAACTGCTTGGGATGGGGTGGGGGTATATGAACACTGGAGTGAGCCAGGAGAAATGACTCACCCAGCAGGTACAGAACAGCCTTAGGACAGGCTGGTTTCCAGGTTTCCTGCATATGCTCCCAAACTGGCTGAAAGGACACTAAATAAAATCCTCTTATCCGACCGTTATGGTATCCAGTTATCTGCACTTCGGAAGAAAACTTCTCTTGCTGAGGTACGTGGATCTCACGGTGCTTACCCTAAGATAACAGAAGAGGCAGGTGAGGTGGCAGTGGCTACCCCCCCCAACTCTCTAGCATGTGCCAAAGGCTACTAGGAGCCCCAATTCTGCAACAGTTCTCAACTAGGGGGGTGACTTTGCCACCAGGGAACATCTGGCAGTGTCTTGGGGGTGGGCGATTGCTACTGACGTCTGGTGGGTAAGGGCCCGAGATGCTGCGATGCTGCTGAACATTCAGCAGCAGACAGGGCAGCCCCCTACCGTAAAGAATTATCCAGCCCCAAAACATCAGCAGTGCTGTGGCTGAGAAACCCTTGGTAGCCTGAGAGCAACACCTCAATGATCGAGTCTGTACAAGACACTGAGCGACTAGAAATAAATGGAGGTAATGGCTTTTCCATACCCTCTTGGTAAAAAGTTTGTGTAACCATTCTAATAATGCTAAGCAGTTCTTCAGGTATTAGCTGGATACATACCAAGACTCACACTTTCTTTCAATTAGAATATGAATATATTTCTTTATTAGGATGCTCACAAGAAATGACACACTAGCACTGTCCTTCTGATGTGATAAAGAATACATACATCTGACCCACATCGTGGCAGGAAACAGGAGTCAGGGCTCTCAGAGCTGGTACCAAGTGTCCACTGAAGACATCTCCATTCCTTGATTCCAACATCTCTGCTGTAGCTTCCAGTCAGGTCTCCGTGACTTGCCCAGACTTCTTCATTCCACCATCAGCTGACCCACTTTTTTTCTAGCTACTGTGGACTCCTTCAAGACCTAGGTCAGCTGCCTCATGTCTAACTGGCCCAGGCAGCCTCTGGAATTCTGCAGCACATCTCTTTGGTATGCTGCCGCCCCGCCACCCTCAGGGGCATGGTTGGGAGTTGGGGGAGAGGGGGAATAACATCACATGACCAAAGCAGACAGCAGGAGCGTATTGGCAAATGACACTTGGACATATACCTAACAACCTCACAGAATACATGCTTTCTCCCCAAATGATACATAACCCCCTAGAGGACAAACACATATGGAATGATTCTGTACTCCGGGCACAAGGGATACAAAGTGAATGGTGTTTACATCCGTCAGGTCCTACACACAACAGGAAGTTAGCGCCTGAATGTTGGAACCAGATCTCTGTCCTGGCTCTTCTCTGCCTTTGAATGGTGTCACCACTCTGTTTCCGCCTGTTCTCGGCATTAGTTCATTTTTCAAAAGAGAGGATAGGACGGCAGAGAGAGGAGAACGGGAGATTGGGGTGGGGGGTTAATATGTGGCGAACAACCTATACAACAAAACAAAAGTAATACAAAAATGCAAAACCCAGATTCAGTACTAGAATCTAATGAGAAGGTAGCTGGAGAAACTACATGCGGACACAGACCGTATGATACATAACCCCAGGGGGAGGATTCGGGGGGGGGGGGGCAGAGGCCACTGGTTTAGACTAAGAGCCTTTCAATGGACTGCTGAATAGACTGGATCTGCTGCTTCAGCTGTGAGCCTTCTTTGATGGTGACAGAACAGGCGATGACAGGCCTGGAAACCCCGCAGGCCCGTCCAAGGGCCTGCTTGGAGCGCACAAACACGTAGGGCACATTCTTATCCTCACATAGCAATGGAAGGTGCAGGATGATCTCCAGGGGCTCAGCGTCTGCAGCCATCACGATGAACTCAGAGATGCCTCTGTTGAGGGTTTTGGTGGCTGAGGAGAGGAGGACCGGAGGTCAGTAAGTATGGGGGGAGGGGGAGGTTGGGCATGGAAGCTACAACAAAGCAATTTCCAAGGAAAAGAAACACAGGTGCAAGAAAACTGGGCAAAAATCCCCAGGCACAAGCAATTCTCTGTGTCCTGTAGTGGCCCTGGGAAATGATAAGGGATTTAAGCATCAATTAGCCATCCTCCATGCCATTCGCAAACCCTACATCAAAACCATCAGTTCTGTGAAAACACATCCTGAAACAGACCATTTCTTTCCTCTCCGCGGCTACCACACTTGTCCAAATCACCACCATCTCTTGCCTGGTCGACAGGTACAGCTTTCACACAAACTCTGCCAGCATGAAGCTCTGTGGTACAGCACTTCTCAAACTCTGTGATCGAGGAGGGATCCGGCTTTTACCATCCCAATTTGTCATGAGCAGTATTTCTAGAAAGCTCACACCACACACAACTTACCAAGCAAAATCAGCACCCCAGAGCATTGTTTAACCACTGTGGCCCAGTGCTAGCGCACAGACACACACTGTTAATGCTGGAGTACTGACGAGAGCACAGACTCTGGAGCCACAATGCTCGAGTACAAATCCAAGGTAAATGCTACAAAATGTTAACAACTGGTGGATCTGAAATAATTCTTAGTCCATTAACCTTTAGCATCTACTGCCAAAATGCTGCTCTTAAGTCCTTCCACTGGTTCCAATCAAGAGTATCCAGCCCTCTTTCCAAATTGGAAATCTTAAGGCAGAGACAGTGCCTTTATCACTCTACCTGAAACACTCTCTGGCTGCCTTACCTTCATTGGCTCCTTTCCGAAGCTGCTTGTAGTTACATGACTGCTGAACAAGGTCCAGTAGTTTCTTGGTGAGGTGGGCGTCTGCTAGGGGGTAGGCCTTTGGATTTACATCAGCCTCAGTCTGTGCGGTGGGAAGCGGGGGGGAGTCATTAAAGCATCAGTCAAACCGAACCAGAAGTTGTTCCAGACAAGTCATAAAACACTTCAATTAACAACTGAGAGAGATAATGATCAGCTTAAAAAAGCTTAGCAATTACCCAGTCCAATGATGTACACTAAAGCTTTATACTTTCATTTGCCTCTCTTTTGCTTGATAATATTATAGCAAATGGATTACAAATAGGTTCTCATGGCTCAGTATCCACTTGAGTCATACAAATTTACTGAATCAAAACTTAAGGTATAATTTATACAAATGTAGCACAAAGTTTTCTCTCTCCATTTTCCATTCAAATCTTCCTCTGTCCTAAGAATTCTGGTTTGCAAAACATCATTTTCTCATTTATCTGACCTGCTAATACATACAAAATGGCTGGCACCTCTACCAACAAGCTCACCAAGGTCGAAATTTCTTTTTGTTCTTAGAATATATCTGACTAGGACCACCTAGTCAGAGTACTATAGTCAAGTTATTCAAATCAATTTTTTTTCCTGTGGTTATCAATTTGATATATAATTTGGGTTCCTTTGTATTCAGCTTGCTTAAAAAAATAAAGATTTTACTTTTCAAATATATACAACATTTACATGTTTTCAAAGTAAAAGCTATGTTAGTGAGCTAAAAGTGTTTTGAAAACTGGTAAACAGTAAAGCATTTATTCCCACCTTTCCTACACAGAGTATATCACTAGGTAATAAATAAATGACAACTTTCTCTTGTATCATTATTCCACCTAACAAAGAAGGAGTCAGTCAAATCCCACCATCCTGCAACCCACATTCATTAGGTTAATTAATCCAGACATAAATTAATGGATGACACTGATTAACAGCTACCAAGATCACAAGATGCCGTGATCATCACCCCTCTTGAAGAACAAAATACCTATATTCTAGTAGTCTTGGGGGGGAAACAAAAGGAAAGAAAAAAATCTGATCAAGCCTTTGATTCTAATATTAGATAGTTAATATTACGGAATTATTAAATTTTGGGGAATTATAATGGCATTGCAGTTGCTAAAAACCCTTATTTTATACCTACTTTAATACTTATTAATAAAATGCTACGTCATTGGCTTTGCTTCAAAATAACCCATGTAGGGAACGAACTGGATGGGGGCTGCTTATATCATTCCTTCCTCTTCATCCCTACCTCTCGAGTTTAACCATTTTCATTAATTTCTCATTTGTTTTCCCTATGATTCTTTTTACACCTACATATCTTTGCATATAAAATTAGGATGCACCCCACGTTATCATTGCGAGCAACGAGCGGTTCGCGGTTCGCGGTGGCGTTCCGGTCTAACCCTGGTTTTGGAGGCTGGACCGCGGCATGCGGCACGCGGCACCACAATTCTAGGTGGTGACCCGTGGGTGACGGCCCGGTGGGAACACTCACCATTGCGTCTGTCCCGGTGGTCTCCTGCCTGATACCACAAGGACACAGAAATGACCCACCCGCAGGGAAGTAGGAAGTGACATAGGATGACGTCAGCGGAAGTGACGTCAAGCGCGAGATTGCACCAAAACGCCCGGTCCCTAAAACATTGCAGTGGTCCCGGGATGAAGTGGTATTAAGTGAGGGCTAGAGTTCCCTGAAGAAGTGGGGAAAAGGGTCTCCTTATTTTTGGTCTGCTGTTCTCCATACATTCTAGAATCTGCTTTTCAAGGCCCACAAAAATCTGCTGGGATAATCTGATTTGTAGATTTGATATAATCCCAATTGCAGTAAAAGACCTTTAGGATGCTGAATCTGTCAATCATTTAAATATATACTATAAACCAGTACTTTTCAGTAAGGCTTTACAATTTTTCCAAAAGGCGTAATATCTTTTAGATTTACTCCTAGGTATTTCAGGCTAAGAAAATTCACTTTATTAAGAAAAAAATTCACTTTATTTCCTACTGTATAAGGAATTTCTCTGAAACTAATGATGTACTATCCACTGGCTAACTGAATTTAAATAAAAAATAAAAAAAGAATTTCTTCTTTGTTAAACAAATTGTTGAATTCTATCATTTTTTTTTTGTGCTTAGATGAAAAAGACTTTCCTTTAATTTTTTTTTAGTTTTTCTAATGGTAAACCAATTTTGCATTCCTGAGATAAAACCAACTTAAATAGGCTTTCTTATTTTATATCCATTAGCTAATGGATATAAGGTTTCTTGGGGGGGGATGATAAAAATGTTCTAAAATTCTTACAGCAATGGTTGCACAATTCTGTAAATATATGAAGAACCACTTTACTATACACTTCAAAACAGGTGATGAACATTTCGTAGTACATAAATTATCTCCATAAAGCTATTTTCAAAACTAGGTATAGGTTTTTTCTCATGAAAAAATTTTAACTTCGTTTCTTTACTCTTGTTTTATTTTTTTTAAAAGATTTTATTATTTATTTGACAGAGAGAGAGCACAAGCAGGGGGAGCGGCAGGGAGAGGGAGAAGCAGGCTTCCCGCCGAGCCGGGAGCCCGACGTAGGGCTCAATCCCAGGACCCTGGGATCATGACCTGAGCGGAAGGCAGACACTTAACTGACTGAGCCACCCAGGCGTCCCTTCAGTTTTCTTTCTTTCTTTCTTTTTTTTTTTTTAAAGATTTTGTTTATTTATTTGAGAGAGAGAGAGGGAGAGAGCATGAGAGGGGGGAGGGTCAGAGGGAGAAGCAGACTCCCCGCTGAGCAGGGAGCCCGATGTGGGACTCGATCCCGGGACTCCAGGATCATGACCTGAGCCGAAGGCAGTCGCTTAACCAACTGAACCACCCAGGCGCCCCCTTCAGTTTTATTTCTACTTAAACTGGTTTTGATACATTTTTTTCAGGCATTTATTCACTTCATCTCAGTTTCTGTATTTATAGCTATCAAATTGTTTATAATATCCTCTTTAAATATCTGCAGATTATGTCTCCTTCAGGTTTGCTATAGCTTGCAGATACCTCTTTTGATTATTAATACTGGAGGGGACTTTTCAAAGAAAATCTTCTGATTCTGTCTTCCCTATAACAGTTGGATCTATTTGCCTTTTCAATAATTTCTGCTTTTGTTTGGTAGTTAGCTGCTTCCTGTGTGCTCTGGTGTGTGGTATTCTCATTACTGATCAGTTCTGTTTTCAAATTTCCATTATAATTTTATTCACTAGATTCACTATGACCACTAGATCAAGTTTATTGATGGTGTTGTTCAAATCCTCTATTACCATACTGATGTTCTGGCTTCACCATCTACCATTTATACACTTAAATGATATATAATTGCATATTTGTCTATTTCTTCTTGTAATTATGTCATTTTTATTTTATTCATACCTTATTTTTTTTAGCCACTATTTATCTTCACGGATGCATTTCACCTTTTATTATTATTATTTTTTTAAGATTTTATTTATTTACTTGAGAGAGAGAGCGCAAGCAAGCACCAGCAGGGGAAGGGAAAGGGAGAAGCAGACACCCCACCGATCCCAGAGTCCCGCGATCTTGACCTGAGCCACGTAGGCATCCCTGCCTTTCACCTTAAAAACCATTTCTTTATGATGTTTATAGAGGCTACACAACACCTTTTAACTTGGCCTACATTTACCATTCTTTTTACTTTAATCTGTCTTAACTGGAGCACTTGGTCTCTTTCTATATTTATATAAGTACTGATGTATTAGGTTCAAATCCTTCTTTTGTACCTTCTATTCCAATTGATACGTTTCTTTTTCTTTCTTTCCTTCCTTTGGGTTTATTATTTTTTCACACTACTATTCCCTTTACTGGCTTGGACTTACATACTTAAAAAAATGTCAGGTATTTTATTTTTTAAGATTTTGTTTATTTGTCAGAGAAAGAAAGCACAAGCAGAGTGAGTCTCAAGTTGAACTTAAGAGAAATTTCCCTCAACTGTAAATGGCAGGCAGCGGGAGAAATAGGCTCCCCACTGAGCAAGGAGCCAGTTGTGGGACTTGATCCCAGGACCCTGGAATCATGACTTGAGTGGAAGGCAGCTGCTTAACCAAATGAGCCACCCAGGCGTCCCTATCACATATTTCCAATGCAGTTCCAACAACCCATCTCTAGAATTTAGGATTCTCAACTTTTTTTTTTTTTTTTTAGATTTTATTTATTTATTTGAGAGAGAGAGAGAATGAGAGAGAAGAGGGTCAGAGGGAGAAGCAGACTTCCCGCTGAGCGCGGAGCCCGATGTGGGACTCGTTCCCGGGACTCCAGGATCATGACCCGAGCTGAAGGCAGTCGCTTAACCAACTGAGCCACCCAGGCGCCCAAGGATTCTCAACTCTTAACAAAACATTAAATGCATAAAAAGGGAAGACTTCAGGAGCCCAAAAAACCATCAAAGAGGCCTCACCTTATCGTTTTAATTACAATCAACAATAAAAGGCCAGCTCATAAATAGTAACGGAAATCTGCTTAGTGTGTTTATTCACCTTTTAATTTTTTCGAGGGTTATTTAAATGAGTGAAGGAATGAAATCATACTGCTAGCTAATTTTCATCCCTAGCCTGATCCATTTGGTCTCCCTGTACACCAGGGAGCCAAAAACACCCTGGCAAAGTTTTGATTTAACAATAAACACTATGAACTCATTAACACCATACCAAGTTAGGATCAGGTGTTTAACATGCATTATCTCATTTAATTTTTTTTTAAGTTTTATTATTTGAGAGAGAGAGAGAGCCAGAGAGCGAGCGAGCAGGGTGGAGGAGGAGAGAATCCCAAGGAGACACCACGCTGAGCATGGAGCCAGACATGGTGGATCTCAGAATCCTGAGATCATGACCTGAGTGGAAATCAAGAGTCCGACGCTCAAACCACTGAGCCACCTAAGCGCCCCTGCGTTATCTCATTTAATTTAATCATCACAACATCCTCATGCATCTATCCCCATTTTACAGTTGAGGGAAATTTCTTTTAAGTTCAACTTGAGACCACCCCATTCCAAAACTTTTCATGGAATTATGGAAGATGAGCTAGTTTCAAGTTCTAGGCTCAGCCACGTACTAGCTTCAAAATAGGGGGTGGGGGGGAAGGAGTGGGGTAAGATGCCCAACGGGATCCAAGCTCCGTTGGAAGGATTAAACCTCACCATGGAAGTGGAAGCTCTTTGCAAACTCTTCTTCCTTACCAAGTGCTAAACAAAACTATCTACCAAGCTACAGGAGTTGATTGAAAGTTGGGAGATCATCAACAGCTTAAAAGTTGCACGTGGTGCTGCCAGGACCTCTGATTTGGAAGACTACCGCCTCGCAGAAGCCTTTCCTCAACCCGGCCGGGGTTTGGGATCACTCCACAGCTCCCACAGCTCCCACAGCTCCCAAACGCCAAAGGCTCCAGTAAGTCCCTGGCATGTGTAACCCGCAGCGGGCACTAAGGCGCAAACCCATGTAGATCTAGATCTCCCTCTCCTGAACATCAACAAATGGGGAAATGGGGTAGGGGAGGTTGATTTGAATCCTGGGTTCCACACCCTTAGCGATCCCCAAAAAGAAAAGTAAAAAAAAAAAAAAAAAAATGGAGCCACGTTTTCTCATCCAACTCTCTACTCTCTCCCACGTGGGTTGGTCTCTTTCTCCCACGCTGGGCCAAGACTTCTCCACTCCCCCCGACGCTTTCGGCCACGCGCACAGAGTGCCGCAAAGTACCCCCGACCACAGCAGTTGGGACCCTGAAGCTTCCGGAGTTCTAACCTCGAGCGGGACTGTTGTAGCCCCGTGGCTGCCCGAATTCTAACTCGGGGCCAGGCGGCTGGGACTCCGCGGCCGCCGGAGGTCTAACCCTAGGCCGGGCTGTCTGGACAGCATACGTTCTAAGCCCCAGCAGTCCAGTGAGTGAACTGAACCCGGAGTCTCCCGCTTCCCAGCCGCGGCTCCAGAAGGACACACTCACCATATTTGCAATTCCGCGGTCCCGCCACCCCGCAGAGGGCAGGCGACGTCAGAGCGGGAGCGCGCGCGCCTCAGGAAAGTCGCGCCGGAGAAGTGGAAATGGCTGCGTGCGGCAGGAAGCGGAAGTGACGCCACTACAAGTGGGCGGATCTCGTCCTCTAAGGGCCTCCCGGAACTGTGTAAGTTTTGGGAGAGGAACCGCAATTTGCTATTTTTGTTCTCGTTATGCTGTAAATCTTTGGCAGGAACAATGAATTAAACATGCACACACACACACCAACAGGTTTCAATGGTGTCATCGTTCCATTGCCTGTTTATCTTTGAGCACATTCTTGAGCTTTCCAAAATCATCTTTTTGACCCTACACTGGTGAGGGAACGGTATGGAGATAATGATGGGTAATCCTAAATGTTTTCCTTCCTATTTAGATATGGTTTTTTTTTTAAGATTTTATTTATTTATTCGAGAGAGAGAGAACGAGAGAGAGCACAAGCAGTGGGCAGAGGGAGAAGTAGGCTTCCTGCTCACGTGGGGCTGGATCCCAGGACCCTGGGATCTTGACCTGAGTGGAAGGCAGATGCTTAACCAACTGAGCCACCCAGGTGTCCCCATATTTAGATATCCTTGTTAAAAGACTGGTGGGAAATGTGGAGTCCACCTGAAATGGAATCCATTGAGTGGGGAATTCAGGAAGAAGAGCAGGTTTGGGGGTGAGGGTTGAGTTTCTGTCAGGTTGAGTTTGGAGATGTCATCGGACACCCATTTTCTTTTGACCCGCATACTGCTCTTTTCTCTATGCTGCTCCAAATCGCCATTATTTAAAGCTAGACTCATGCCTCGCCACCTCCAAGAAGTCCTTCCTGATCTTTAGAGCCCTTACTCATTTCTCTCCAACTCGATGCCAGGCACATCTTGGGACCATTTGGATCTAGCCAAAACTAGACCATTATAGGGTAATTCCAGTTAATTATTTTGAAAACCTAGAGGTAGAGACCTAGCAGGACCCTTAGGAATCAAGCAACAATCTCTTCATTTTACAGATACTAAGGCCCAGAGAAGGGAAGCTCCTTGCCCCCAGTCACAGAGTGAGTCAGTGGCTGAATCAGAACTGGGCCTTGGGATTTTGGCTACTGGCTTGGGTTACTTCCACCACATCTGGCTGCTATGCCTGAGACGAGTTGTGGTATGGGGCAACAGGATGGGTTTGAACTGGCTCCAAGATGGAACATAAATTACCTCAAAAATTGCTCCATCAAACTTCACCTCATGCAAATCTTACACAACTTGTCAAAGAACAAAATTTGTCTCCAAATTAAGAAATGCCCACAGATGGCTCCTGTATAAGAGTAGAACCTGTGGTTTGGATTCTGCTGCTCACTTTTTAGATCCTGTTTATGTTTCCATATTAATGGGACATATCAACCACCATTGTTGGGGAATTAAACATTTGCCAATTTATAGTTATAGATGTGTCCTTATCATTTGCTTTTTAGATATCCTTTATGACAATTTCCAGTTGTTATTTGGCTTACCTGGCATCTAGCACCATCATATCCCAGGTCTCCTCAGTAAAGACTGATGGGGACTTGATGTTTTTATTACTATGAGTAAGGACACAGTACATCTCACCTAATTAATTGTTTCCAAAGCTAGGTCACCCTTTTTTATTTTGTTGTTTCCCTTGCTAGTAAGTTAATAAATGTTGACATACGCTCAAGATCAATCTGTCTTATAAATTTGTCTTTGGGCACCTGGGTGGCTCAGTTGGCTAAGTGACTGCCTTTGGCTAAGGTCATGATCCTGGAGTCCTGGGATCGAGTCCCGCATCGGGGTCCCTACTCAATGGGGAGTCTGCTTCTCCCTCTCCTGCTCCCCCCTCTTGTGCTCTCTCTCTCTCTCTCTCTCATTCTCTCTTTCAAATAAATAAACAAAATCTAAAATAAATAAATAAATAAATTTGTCTTTTACCACACTGTGATTAAAACCCTAAATCCTGGCCATGGCTTACTAGGCCCCTCTCCACCAGTCCCCACCTGCATTCCAATGATAACAGCTTTACCCACCTTCTTTTTCTACCCTGAGCACACCCCAATTTCTCTAACCCCATCCATCACCCTTTGTTGGGAGTAATATACTCCACTGTTTTGCTAAGCTAACTCCAATTCATCACCTCCTTAGGGAAGCCTCCCTGATCACCCAGACCAGGTAACTGCCCCTGCTGGATGGACCCACAGCCCTGTGTCCTTGCCCATTATAGCACCTGTCAACCTTGCCTTTATTTAGTGTCCACCTTTCCAACCACACCGAGAGTTCTAGGAGAGCAAGTCTTACAGATGCCTTGGGTACTTTGGATACATATCAGCTGGCACTATGCCTGGCCCAAAGGTAGTGCCTGTTGAACTTAGGGATTTTTGGTGGGAAGCAACCAAAAGGGAGTTTGGGAAAAACTCTGTCGTGGAGCCCATAGATTCCACAAGAGTTGGTTGTGAGAGCAGAAGCAGCCCTACAGTCTCACTGTCAATGCCCTCCAGCCAAGGACTGGCAGGAACACACCTTATAGTGTTATTACTTATTGCATCAGGGAGAATACACACCATGCGGAATGATAAGCCTTCTCAATAAGAGGGTGTTATAAAGGATTTACTGTAGGATTTAGGTTGTATTAGGTGATTTTAGGGAGGGTTCAAGGAATTATGTGGTTTGCTCTGGATTAGATGCCATCAGGGAGTGTGAATAATTCTGTGATTGGGCATCTTTTTTTTTTTTTTAAAGATTGATTGATTGATTTAAGAGAAAGAGAGCGTCCAAGCAGGGGGAGGGGCAGAGAGGGAGAGAATCTCAAGCAGACTCCCTGCTGAGTATGGAGCCCAATGCAGGGCTCAATCTCATGACCTTGAGATCATGATCTGAGCCAAAATCAAGAGCTGGCCACTTAACTGACTCAGCCACCTAGGTATCCCTGTGATTGAGCATCTTAATAATCTTATCTACAAGGTGGAAAGAATGAAGTGGGGCTAAAGCTGTAATTGGTAAAGAAATAGCAGTCACTCTTAATAGCCAGGATAACGGGAATTTGGTGAATTTTGTGGTTTCAATAATGTTCATGTTTTTGTCTGTGTTCAAATGGGATTAAAGAGTGGTCTTGTTTTTGTCTTGATTATCACAGATTGGCTTTGTCTGATGTTGTAATCTATGAAATTGTTTTTGTTGAACGGGAGAATACCAAGGTCCAGCTGTGAGTGTTAGGCCAGCTCCTAGCAATACCAAGTCTTAACTGATAGAAATGGGCCAGTTCCTAGCTGTCCTGGGCTGCTTTTCTTTTTCTTTTTCTCACCAACTTCCTATTCCCACCGTGAATCACTGTTCTTGGTATTTAGAGCTCTGGCTGAGAAAGCCAAGTTGGCCAAGCTTAGGTCACACCTCCATTCCTTGACTGTCCTAGATCTATGAGAGAGTATCAGGTAATAAGCTGGGGTGACATTCAGCCAGGATACATCATGTGGGATACTGGGTTCTTAAAATAGAGAAATACATCCCAACTGGTTGGTAAATAGGTGATGCCCCTCTCCTGGGATGCTTAGGAACACTTGAAATGCAGCTATTAAAGGGTTAAGGCCTGGCCCATCTGACTGGCTGATGCCCCTTCCTGCTCCACTATTCGATATTTTGAATATAACCTTTGGGTGAAAGACAATCTTCAGGGTAGCAGTTATTCCTCTACCAACACTGATTTATTCCCCTAACCATCCTGAGATGGGGAATGTAATTCCCAACAGAAAACCAGAATACTGTGAGCAAAGAGGAAGGAATGCTGGGTGGTCAAACAAGAATACACATGTTCAATACAGTGTTTATTATTAAATGTTTGGTATTGGATAGACAGATGGACACAGTATCTAATAGGAAGAAAGAAATCATGCAGACTACAGGTTAATCACCCCATCACATAGGGAGAAATGTAATCTCTTCACTCCAGAGGACAGGACATCTAAAACAAATTCTTCTTCCTCTTAATTCCTTTTGGGCAGTTCCCCCAATGTGTCTTACCTGCACTGAGGGCACATTAGCCAGCTCTGGTGCCAGGTTCAGGAGCTGGAACGGAGGCTGAGGCTCCTTTGTGATAGCCTCAGTGACAGGGGTACTACGAGGCAGGGGCTACTTCACCCCAAACTGGCTGAGTCAACCATACCAGTCCTGCCCTCCAACTCCCTAACATCACCTGCTCACCTAAGCTTTGTCATGTTGTTGCCACTGCTGGGAACCTGTGCTGTGGTGGGGCCATTCCAGGGCCCTGAGTGGGAGCCAGTGAGGGGCCTGCTTTCTGAGGATTGCAGCTGCAGGGACCCTCGGTGCTGTGGCAACCTGCTCGTGCTCTGTCTCTTTCTGATCTGGCAGGTCCAGCACTATTGGCAACAGGTCACCAGGACCCACCCCAGCATGAAGAAGGTCATCAAGGTGAGGGGGCCCCACACACCTCCTTCCCTCAGCACCAAGATTGTCTCATTCACTTGTTACGAGGACCCTGTACTATGCCCTATGTACCAGAGATGAATCACATGGGGGAACTTAAGACTGGTCAGGGAGAGAGAGCATCACCAGGCCCCAAACCCAAGAGTCACCCTGGTCTCTCTCTCTCACTCTACACATTCAATCCATTTATAAGTCTTATGGGCTCTACTTGCAAACCAGATCTCAAATCTGATCACTTTTCGAAAACTTACCACAGCCCCCTGGGCAAAGCATCCCTCATGTCTCCCCTACACTGTAGCACTGCCTTCTGCCTGGTTCCTGTGGCCTCTCTCATCTAAGCACAGACAATGTTCCACTCAGCCGACAGGATGATCTTCTTTCTTTCTCTTTGTCCCTTAAAATTTTAATCCAAGGATAATACACATACACAGACTATATGTGTATAGATCAATGAATTTTCACAAACTGAATACATCCATGTGCAGCACCCAGATTAAGAAACACCATTACTGCAGCCCAAAAGTTTGCAGTCACAACTATGCTAATTCCTAATAACATAGACTAGTTTTGCCTGTATGAAATCATATGGTAGGTATTCTTTCACACCTGGCTTAACGTTATGCTTGTGAGCAAGAACCAACTTTTAAAAACTTTGCCCCTCAAAACCCTGTAAAGGCTCCAACGGATATACTCCCTGTCAAACTCAGCATAAAATCCAAACTTCTAACTATAAGTCCAAGGCCCAGCATTACCTGTCCTACATTTCTCTCTGACCTCATCTCCCAACACTCTCTTAGTCACCTGTTCCATTCTGGGCATAGGGACCCCTTGAGATTCTTATACACATGACCTTGTTCTGACCTCAGGGCCTTTGCACTAACATCTCCTTTGCCTTCAGTGCTTTCTCCAGATGTCACTCGGTTGCCTATCATTTCATTCAGGTCTCCAGTCAAATGTCACTTCCTCTGAGAGGCCTTCTGTGACCAGCATGTCTAAAGGAGCTAGCCCCATACCCATTCTACTTTTATTTCCATCAGAACACTTTTCAATATCTAACATGTTGTATACTTGGTTATTGTGTCTTCCATGTCTGGAAGATAGCTGCCGACAAGGACTTTGTCTTGTTTATGCTGGTAACCCCAGCATCTAGAACCCCAGCCTGGCCTGGAATAAACTCTTTGTCTTTCTTAAATGAATGGCTTTAGGGAAGTGATTCCTTCTTTCCTGAGCCCAGCTTCCTCATCTGGATAATGGAGATTGTAATTCTGATCTGTGAGAATTAGATGAGACAATGTGTGAGCAAGGATTTTGCTTCTCCATTCTCAACTACAGGTGCCACCGCAGAAGTGGGCAGTGCCCTCCGTGAGACATGACACTTCTTTCCAGATGACCCCTGGATTCTTCTTTAGGCCTGGTGATCTCAGTGGCCTGGATGCTCATGTCCAACAATGGGTACAAAAGAAGAGACAGGAATACCCGAGGAGCCTCCAGGAATCATGGACCCAATACCTGTTCTCTTGGCAGCACCCATGTCAGGGTCCACCTTGGGATTTCCACACTCCTTTTGAGCCCTTCTTTTGCACCACCTCCCTTTCAAGCACCTGTATGCTCCCCCAGGACAGTTCTTGGGAAGCATGGCAGGTACCCTGGTGTCTCAGTGATGAGCAGACTCACCTGATTTGCAAGTCACTATCCCCTGCCCTGGGCAGGTACCAAAGGATGCAGCAGCTGCTGGCCCACTCCCAGGAAGAGTTGGTGCCACTGGAGCCTGTTGTCAGCATGAGGTCTCACCTCACATCCATGATTTTAGCCCCCTCTCTCTCAAACCTCTCTTCATCTCAGAGGCTGCAGTCTGATCCTTCCAACCAACAAGTGGGAATGTCCATCTGGAAGTCCTGGGAATGCCCACAAGAGGCCTGGGTACCAGGGAAGGAAAACCAGATGCTAAGCAGAGAGGTTATAAGGTGGGTGAAGCAGACAGAGAGCAGTGGGGAGGATGCTTGGGAGATTCAGGCAACTGGAAGGCAACTCCCAGGGAACTCTGAAATGGAGGATGATGCAGAGACTAAGGTCCTGGCATGGAGAAGTCAGACACTAGTAATAAGTAAAACTGATGGAGATATCCTGACACCAGGGTCAAAGAATCAGGACCAGATGGGAATTGAGAATAGAGCCAAAATTCAGGAACTAGGGAATAGAAACAACAGGGAGGCTGAAGGTGAGAATCCTCCTGGAAACCAGGCACATATAGTAGAAAACCAGGAACCGTTAAGATGTAAAACTGATGCAGAGACTCAAACACCAGAGTGGGGGAACCGGGACAAAAGTAGAAATGAGGAGGCTGTAGAGACCCAGGCAGTTGGGAAGAAAAAGGAAGAGGCCAGAGGAGAGGATGAAGGAGAGACCAAGGCCCAAGAATTGGGGAGGCAGGGCCAGACTGGAAGTGAGGATGGTGAGGAAATCCTGGTGCCAGGGTGGGGAAAACAATACAAGATTAGAGATGATACTGGTATAGAAATTCAGGCACAGGAAAGGAGGGACAAGGCTCAGGTTGGAGGTGAGAATGATGTGGAAACCCAGGTATCTGGGAGCGAGAACCTGGGAGAAGTAACACAAGAGGAAGGTATGGAGACCCGGGCCCTGGGGTGGGAAAAACAAGAATGCATTGGAAGTGAGAATGTTATAGGGATCCAGACGGTAGGGTGGGAAACGCAGGATCAGGGTGGAAGTGAGAAATCTGGGAGGATCCAAGCATCTAGGGAAGAGATCTGGAAACAACTAAGACATGAACTTCTAGTGGGCTGGAGAAACCGAGGCCTGAGAAGGGGGGAGGATGCTGGGGAAACCCAGATGTCAAGAAGGAAGAACCTCAGGGAGATAAGAGAGAACTGGGTAGTGATCCAGGCGCCATGGTGGGGAGACCAGAGAACAGTAGCAAGTGAAATGGACAGAGAATGCGAGATACCATGTTGGGGGAATCAGGATCAGATTGGAGGTGAACTTAGAGCAGAAACTCAGGCACCAGAGAAGAGAGACCAGAGAAAAGATGGAGATGAGGATGGTACAAATACCCTGGCTCCTGAGGCAGAGAACCAGGAACAACTAAGACATGAAACTCATGTAGACACCCATCCACCAGAGGGGAGGAACCAGGAGCAGTTTGGAGATGAAAATAGAATAGACATTCAGGCACTAGGGAAGAGAAATCTGAGAGGGGTTAAAGGTGAAGATGGTAAGGAGACCCAGGAACTTAGGGAAGAAAACCAGGGTCAGTTAAGCAGTAAACTTAATGGCGAGCTTCATACGCCCGAGTGTAAGAATCAGGAATACATTAGAGGCAAGGATGGTGCAAACAACCAGGCAACTGAGGTGGGAAACGGGGGAGAATTAACAAGTCAAATTGACGGAGAAACCCATTCAGCAGAATGGAAGAAAGAGGAACAGGTTGGAGATGAGAATGGTGGAAACACCCAGGCTTCTGAGGCTGAAAACAGGGGAGAATTAACAAGTCAAATTGGTGGAGAAACTCATTCAGCAGAATGGAAGAAAGAAAAGCAGAATGGAGATGAGAGCGGTGCAGAAATTCAAGCTCTAAAGAAGACAAGCCCGAGAGAAGGTGCAGGTGAAGATGATACAGAGACCTGGGAGCCTGGAGAAGAAAGCCAGAGCCAGTTAAAAGGTGTTATTTTTTTTTTAAAGATTTTATTTATTTATTGAGAGAGAGAGAGAGAGAATGGTAGAGAGCATGAGAGAGAGGAAGGTCAGAGGGAGAAGCAGACCCCCCGCTGAGCAGGGAGCCCGATGCGGGACTCGATCCCGGGACTCCAAGATCATGACCTGAGCCGAAGGCAGTCGCTTAACCAACTGAGCCACCCAGGCGCCCTAAAAGGTGTTATTGATAGAAGGACCCATTTATCAGAGTGGAAGAACCAGGAGCAGACAGGAGGTCAGAATGGAACAGAAATTCAGGCTGGAAGTGAGGATGCTGTAGAGACCCAGAGGCCTAAGGGAGAGAACCAGGGACAGTTAGATAGTGAAACTGGAGAGAGCCACTCACCAGGGAGGACCAATTGGGAGCAGACTGGAGGAAAGAAGGAGGAAAATCAGACATTGGGGAAGAGAAATCAGAGAGAGGCTAGAAGTGAGGATAATGGAAAGACCCAGGGACTTAGGGAAGGTCCCCAGAGACTGATAAAAAGCAAAGTTGATGAAAAGAGCTGTTCATCAGAGTGGATGAACCAGGAGCAGGTGGGAGGTGAGAATGCCGCAGAGGTTGAAATACAAAGGAAGAGAAACCTGAGAAGGACCACAGATGATGATGGTACAGAGACCGAGGCTCTAGGGGCAGATGACCAGGGACAGGTAAGAAGTGAAGTTGATGGAGAGACCCAGATACAAGGGCCGGGGAACCAGAACAAGGATGGAGATGAGGATGCTGCAGAAATCCAGGCTGTCGGGAGCCAGAGAGAGTGCAGAGCTGAGAAGGCTGGAGGTCCTCACATTCTAAGGGGAGGAAGCGAGGAGCAGGTCAGAGGAAAAGATGCTGCTAAAGGCAGTCTCTCAGTTGACTCTTCCAGGGGCTCGGGGCTCGGATGTGGGGCCATGCAACAGGAACAGGCAGTGGCCTCCGCTCCCTGTCCTGAGATAAAGCCTCTCCTCAACTGGAATGGGGAGGGAGAGCATTTGGTCAGCCAGAGCATGGCCTCTGCCAAGAAGCATAGAGCGAGGGTCAGTCTAGCCTCCCAGCAGGCCCCACCTGAAGCCCAGAGAAGCCGACAAAGGGATAAAAAGGTGGATCCAGGGAAGACTTCTGGCCTGACTTGGAAGCTCCAGAACTTACATTCTGGAGAACTTCTGGCTGCTTCCCTGGGCCTGCCCTCTGCCTGCCCCTCTGTCTCATGTGGCCAAGCCTCTCAAGCTGCCACAGCTCTAGTGGGTCCTCCCACTGCCCTCACTGTCCTGCCCAAGTGGCCAGTCCTCAAAAAGAGCCAACGGCTCCTCCTGGAGTCCCTCATGCGACGGAACATTGCACACCTGAAGTGGGGCCTCCCCCAGCGGATCCTGGAGTCCCGTCTGCTCCTTAACATGTTAGGACTGTGCCCACTACCCCCTGCTGGGGTGAGGTTCCCTGGATTATACACAGCCTATGAGCTCCAACGACAGCAGGAAAGACATTGTGAGGCCCAGGGCCTCAGGCCAGGCCTTAAGTCAACTGAGAGATCCCAGAGAGTTCAGCCCCTAGAAAGAAAAAGCTCAAAACTTCCTACACGGGCCAGAGCTCTAGAGAAATGTGGGTCACACGGGTGCGAGCCCTTGGGCATCTCCATCCATTCTGAAAAGCCTGGGAGAGTCAGGCCACCGGGAGGCACCAGAGAACCACGGGACGTTCAGGCAGAGGCTCCTCCTAGAGCCAAGGCTGTTGCTGCTCCCAGGAACTCCAGGCCTGCAGCACAGTCTAGGAGCTGGTGTGGCCAAGAGCCTTCCAGTGAGAACAGCATGGACAGGAAAATGGTCAGGCCGGGAGTCTCCCAGATGGCAGAGATGGCTCCCTGCAGAGTGAGGACCTCATACTCCAGGGCAGGCCATGACTAGTGGAGGAAGGAGTGCACATCCCAGGAGGTCCTTAAGCCCCCCAGACTTAAATATCAGCAGGCTACACATGGGAGAAGAGGAAGCCTGGAGGCTGCAGAGGGCAGAGGAACTGGGCAGCAGCCTTCCTCCTGTTTCACAAACACCTCCAGCTTCAAAGATAGTCTCCACTCTGCTGCAGCAAGGTTGAGCATGACCCTTCTAAACAAGGTATCTTGGTCCCAACACCTGGCCAAGCCTCAGCACTCAGCCCCCAACCTGAGCCTGAGGGATCCTGATACTACCCCGCTTCCCAAAGTGGATGACCAACATACAAGGGAGGATAGCATTGGAGTGTCTATTTCTCTGAAGAGAGACCTTCAGCCACCAGGTCACTGCTGTGCTGAGACTGCTCTTCTCAAGAGAGAGCGCTTCCAGGGTCAAGGGGAACCTGAGAACCTACATGGAGCCCTACTGAATCCATCAGCCCCCCAAAAGTTTGGTTTTATGAAGCATTTGAGATGTTTTCCGCTCCAGCATGGCTTTAGAAAGTAGGCCGCTGGCCCAGGGTCCTCAGAACACATAAGAGAAGGCATGAGTGGTCTGTTCACCCTCAAAGCTTCTAATAAAATTGGTTATTTGGGCCCTGTGGGGTTCTGATATTTCTGGCACATGTTTTCTGAGTGTCCCCTTTTGGAGGTTGGGATACTTTGTGGGTAGTGTATAAGCCATTCTACTCTATGGTATTGAAGGTCAACCCAATGTCATCATCTCCTAAATACATTCCTTTCCCTAGCTCCTCACAGTAGAGTTTACTGAGGTTTCAATCATGGCTCCGTCCTGCTCTGGTCCAAGCTAATTCTGATTGAGGTAGGATGCTCAAACTGAGCCTCCACTTTTTGGAGGGGGTGGTGCTCTGTACTGGACGCTGATATTTAAGTCTTTTGGTCACAAGGAAGGGAACTGATTACGGAGCATTCCCTCAGCTGGAACTCTGTTACCCATGAACATACTGCATGGAAAAACCATCTCCCCCCTCCACTTCTCAAGCTCTGTCAACCATAATTACTTGTTGCCTTGTCTGTCTCACCAGTGGGATATCCTGGCGTCAATTATTTGTTTTAATTAAGCCTGAAACTTCTGAGCCAAAAGGCATTATGTCTTATGATACTTCTGTAGGCAGCTTCAGCATGTGGAAGTAGATTCACAGAGCCTAAATCCATGAGTGCTGGAGTTGGAAATTTAATTCAGGTTTTCTCGCTCCCTCTTCTTTATCTTCCCTTCCTCCTCTCCTTTCTCCCTTCTTCCCTTTCATTTAACTTTCCTATTAATTCATTGTAAAACCCATCCATGCTCATTGAAGAAAGTTTATAAAATTCAGAAAAGGAAAAATAATCCATAATCTTATTACCCAGTTATTGTTTTGATGTTTTTCTTACTATGCATTGCTACCTGCACAGTGTTTCCCATAGCAATTCATGCTTACGTTTACAACAGCATTTATACTATGATAGGAAGGCTCCCAATGCTCCCTACCTCCCAGTATCCTTGTCCTTGTATAGTCTCTCCTTGAGTGTGGATTAGATCTAGTGGCTCACTTCTGACAGGATACAGCAGACATGATGGAATGTAACTCCTGAGACTAGGTTATAAAGTCTGTAGCTCCATCTTGGGCATTTCTCTTGCTTCCTTGCTTGCTCCCTGAGAGAAGCCATCCTCCATGTTGTGAACTGCCCTATGGAAAGGCACATATGGCAAGGAACTGAGGAGATCACTGGAAAACAGTTGTCAAGAAAGTGAGGTCCTCACTTAGCCTTTGAAGAGCTGAATCCTGCCACCAGTCAGGTAAGCGAGCTTAGAAGCAGATCCTTCAGCCCTAGTGAGTCTTGAGATAGCTACAACCTTGTGAGAGACTTTGAACCAGGGTCACTTAACTAAGCTGTGCATCAGGAATCCCTATTTCTTGTTTTAAGTTGCTAAGTTTTGGGGGCATATTATTTTCTATGGCTACCGTAACAAGTCACCACAAACCTGATGGCCTAAAACAACTTCGGGAGGCCAGAAGTCTGAAATCAAGATGTCAGAAGGCCCTCCAAAGGCTCTAGAGGGCCATCAGTTCCTGGTTCTTTCCAGCTTCTGGTGGTTGCAGGTGTTGGTTGGCTTGTGGCACCACCACTCCCCTCACTGTCTCCATGGTCACACTGCCTCTCTTCCTTTTACTCTGTGTGTCTGTGTGTCTAAATCTTATTGGATTTGGGGCCCACTGTATACTCCAGGATGATCTCTAAACATCCTTCACTTAATCACAACTGCAAAGATCCTTTTCCAAATAAGGTAACATTTACAAATTCTGGGGATTGGGATGTTTTATAAGTCTGCTCTGGCTGCTAAAACAAAATACTAGAGACTAGGTGACTTAAACAACAGAAATTTATTTTCTCACAGTTCTGGAGACTAGAAGTCCAAGATCAAGATTCTGGTTGATTCAGTTTCTGTAAGAACTTTCTTCCTGGCTTGCAGATGGTTGTTTTCTCACTG